CTATAAGAAATATATTTTTGGTCTTTCACCCATTTTCTGGCACCGAGCTCCTGAAACTCTTGGAATTTGCTGCGATGAGAGAGATAAAGGCATCTTTTGTTAGGTTAATGAGGTGAGTTTTGAAAGACACCTAGGATAGGGGCTGATTAACGGTGGAACCAACCCAGTGATCACAGGGTTAGAACTTTCAGTCCCACCCACTGACCTCTGGGCAGGGGTGGGGGGTGGGGAGCTGGAGATTGAGTTCAGTCACGAATGGCCAATGATTTAATCAATCATGCAGATGCAATACAGCCTCCATAAAATCCAAAAGGATATGGGGTTTGGAGAATTTCTAGGTTGATGGATACCTGAAGATTTGGGGGAGACTGGTAGTCTCGGAGAGGGCCTCCGCCACACTTTGCCCATGCCTTTCTTCCATCTGGCTGTTCCTGAGTTATATCCTTTTATAATAAACTGGTGATCTAATAAGCTAACTGGTTTCCTCAGTTCTGTGAGCCCCTCTAGCAAATTAATTGAACCCAGGGAGGCGGTCATTGGGACCTCCAAGTCAGAAGCACAGGTGACAATCTGGCCTTGAAATTGGCACCTGAAATGCATGGAAGGGGAGATGTGTTGCAGGACCGAGCCCTTTGCCTGTGCAATCTGAACTATCTCTAGGTAGATAGCGTCTGAATTGAGTTAAATTGTTGGACATCTAGCTGGTGTCCAAGAATTTCTGGGACGTGTGGAGAAACATTGGAAGTGGTCCCAGAAAGGGACAAGGTGAGAGGAATGTTTAGAGCAGCTAGGAGGCAGGAGGAGCCAAGGGGAAAAAGCGGGGTGTATCATGGGAACTATGTGGGCCTTCTTTCTTGTCAAGGCAGAAAGGGAGCCAGAAAAGAAACTGGGGCAAGAAGGGCCTTAGCTCTGCAAAACTGTCAACGAGGGTGACTTGTAAAACATGGTTTGGACTCAGTACCTAGGTAGTACAAAGGGCCTACAGGTACCTGCAGTTGAATGCTGTTGAACACAAAATTGCTCTGTCTGAACATTTTTCTGGGGAGCGTTTCCACAGCTTTTATCAGATTCTCTAAGGGGTCTACAAACCATAAAGAGTTTCACCAAAGCTAACCATTAACACACTTGGAGCAAGATCATTCTAGAGGCAGCAACCCATTTTCCAAGTAATTTCCCAGGTAAGCTGATGGTCATTGAGCAAAGAGGAGAGCCTACGGGAGTAGAACCCAGGACCACCATGGGAAGAAAAGGCCATTCCTTCACATCTACTGTGTCAGGCACTGTTTAGATCCTGGGATATAGCACTGAACAAAACGGAGAAAGAAATTCATGCCAAGTAGATTAAAGGTTTCCTTCTAGCCAGGCGAGACCAACTACGAACAAATGAGTGAAAAATTTAGCAGGTCTAAGAGGGTAGTACATAGGAGAAAAATGAAGCAGGACAGAGGGACAAGGAGGGCCGGCGGTAGGGCAAGGAAGGGATTCAATGTCAAATGGGATGATGGGGATGGGGGAAGTCTCCCTGAGGTGATACTTGAGCAAAGACCTGCAAAAAAGCAGAGTACCAAGCCACACAGGTACCCGGAGACAGAGGATTCCAGACAGAGAAAATAGCAATGTGCCTGAGGCAGGAACGTGCCTTGTGTGTTCGGGGAGAAGCAAGGGAGTTGGTTTCGGAACCACTACTGTGATTCAGACAAGACCGTAGGGTGCCCCAGCCAGGATGGTGGGAGTGGAAATGATAAGAAGAGAGCGGATTCTGGGTGGGAAAAGCCATAGAAAGTTTCAGGAAGGGCTGGAAAGAGGCAGCAGCAACATCTGCCAGTGACTTTCCAATGTCTGAGGGGCATGCCCTGCAGATCTAGTGGACCTGGCTCAGAGGCACTTTCCGAGTGGGGCCATGCTGTGACAAGAGCTGCCTAAGAGGCGGGAGCCCCGGCCCCACTCCTCGGCAGCTGGGCCCCTCGGACTAATCATCTACTTCCTCAGGACAGAAGCTTCCTGACTTACAAACAGGAAGAACAAATGTCTGGCTTGCCTCGTGGCCTCAGACTGGACTCTCTGTTGTCTTAAAATGCCTTCTCATCCCGAGATCCAGCATTCAGATTCCACAAGAGGCTTTAGAAACATCTGAAGTGCCACATCAGAGACAAATTCCGTTCTTTGAATAAATAAATATGCTGCACTCTTATTTCTCGTCCCTCGGACTTTCCCCCGCCTGCAGGATTTATGCTTGACTGGCTTCTCAGGTGGTGAGGTGGGGGAAAGAAGAAATCCCCGCGTGGCGCAGGACCCAGTAGAGCAGCTCACCGCCGCAAGGCTGAGCCAGCACCATATAAGGCACAGAGGCTACTCACAGTGCAGGGACCTCATTTGACTCAGAATAAGTGCGTACGCAGGCAATGTAGGCCAAGTCTACTACCCTAGTCAACGCAGGCTGCCTAGAGCGCTGGACTGAGGAAAGCAGGAAACCTCGGCAAGGGCTCACGATCTCACAATCCGGGGCAACAAGGAGGCTGAGAGCTAAGCTTATCCAGGCTGAATGGCATAGAAGAGAGCTTTAATCAATAAAAACCTCATCTTGGACTGACTAGCACAGCAAAAAAGAGACTGTTTAGGACCTGGGAAATGGTTAACGAAACCACGCTCCTCTTTTTGTAATAGGACGCAGCTGCTCAGGATACCTGTGGCAGGCACTCCTGAGTCTGGGTGTCCCATCAGTAACTTCTTTTCTCCCAGCCCCCGCTAGGCAGGTCCCGGGCTACAGGACTGCCTCTTTGCCCCAGCTCCTGAGTCTGCACGTGGTCTCCTGCCCCCAGCTGAGCCAGGTAGATGGTCTTTCTCAGGAGTTTGGAATGGGGTGGTGGAGGCTGAGCTCAGCCTCTGCTGTGCTTGAGAGAGAAATACAGGAAAGCTGGGGCTGGCACGGCTGTATGGGGCCACGAGTGAGTACTGGAGCGCTGCTCACCACGCAAACACAGGCAGGCATACAGAGAGAAGCAGAATGCGAAGCTGTGTGGCCCCAGAGAAACCGACAGGAAAAGCGCTGGGCCAATGGTCCAGTTCTTGGCCCCAGTGTCTTGAGTCCTCTTGGCAGTTCTCCCTTGATCTCTCTGAGTAGCTACTGTACCAACTCAGTAAATCCCTCTTTGTTGCTTAACATCATTGCACGCGATTTCTATTTTTGGTAACCAAATAACCCCTGAAATGAATCAATATAACAACATGGGAAAAACCCTTTAGCTATAAAATAAAAGATATTAAATTGTATATATTCCATGCTTGTCATTCTGAAAAAAAAAAAAAAGAAATGTATATATGAATACCACCTGGAAGGAAAACATAAAAATTCCTCTGGTGGTTGTAGGGGTGATTATTTTCCTATATTTTTCAAATTTCCACAAAATTGTTATGGCACTCATAATGTTTAAAGAACCCATTGGGCAATCCAATAAATATTTAATATTTGAGCTGTAAGAGCCCCCCCCCCCCACATGACTTCCAAAATAATAGGCAGCACAGTTGATAAATAATTATATACAGTCATCCTGGAGTTGACACAAAGTTCGTTCCTAAAAAGTTGAAGCAGGGCGCCTGGGTGGCTCAGTCGGTTAAGCGACTGCCTTCGGCTCAGGTCATGATCCTAGAGTCCCGGGATCGAGTCCCGCATCGAGTCCCGCATCGGGCTCCCTGCTCGGCGGGGAGTCTGCTTCTCCCTCTGACCCTCCCAACCCTCCTCCCTCTCATGTGCTCTCTCTCTCAGTCTCTCTCTCTCAAATAAATAAATAAAATCTTTAAAAAAAAAAAAAAGTTGAAGCAAAGTGGTCACTTGAGATCCCCCATATCAGCAGTTCTTCATATTTTTATGAAAGGAAAAAACATATACTGGATTCACCTGTTTGTTAATTGCAGATGTTTTTGTTTTGTTTTGTTTTTAATTTTTTATTTAAATTCAATTTAGTTAACATATAGTGTAGTATTAGTTTCAGGGGTGGAATTTAGTGATTCATCACTTACATATAACACCCAGTGCTCATTCCATCAAGTCCCTCCTTAATGCCCATCACCCAGTTACCCCATCGCCCCACCAAACTCTTGTCCAGCAACTCTCAGTTTGTTTCCTAGAGTTAAGAGTCTCTTATGGTTTGTCTCCCTTTCTGTTTTCACCTTATTTTATTTTTCCCTCCATTCCCCTATGTTCATCTGTTTGTTTCTTAAATTCCACATATGAGTGAAATACGGTATTTCTCTTTCTCTGACTTTTTTCTCTTAGCATACCCTCTAGTTCCATCCATGTCATTGCAAAGGGCAAGATTTCATTCTTTTTGGTGGCTGAGTAATATATATATTATATGTGTATATATATACCCATATATACTACATCTTTATCCATTCATCTGTCAATGGACATCTGGGCTCTTTCCATATTTTGGCTCTTGTGGACACTGTGTTAATTATAGATATTTTTTCACAGCAGTTTCTCCTCTAGTGGGGCCCCAACACCAGGGTTCCCAGAAAACTCAAACACTTGAGTCATGGAACCCAGAAAAGTGGTCACCCTGAATTCACCGAGAACCTGTGAGCAGGACCCAGTTCCTGAACCTCTCCCCAGTCTAACCACCCCAGTTCTGGCCAGCCGCTTCACTTTCCTGTGCTGATCAGCCTCCCCCAGCTTTTGGCATAGGTCTTGCCATCACCCTCTCCGGCCCATGACCCCATAACCGGGCAGACTCGTGGTGCTGCGGAATGTTGCTTCAGGACATCACACACATTTGCTGCTGAGCTGCAAAGGGCTGCGGTCTGCCCAGCAAATCTAGAGTCGGCTCTTTGAGGTCATGCAGGGAGGGAAGCTAGATCCTTGGCAATGAGCATGGCCTCAGAGTTGTCCTCTCGTGGTGTCCCTTGAACACTGTTCAAGGAGGGATTGTGTCTGGAGCTCCTAACTCCCCATCTTTGAGATGTCACAGACACCTGCCCAGGAAAACCTGCAGAGTCCTTACCTCCAGAGGGCGTGCCAGCGACTCTCCTAAGGAATTTAACCCACTCCTCCATCTCCGCCTGAGAGCTGGCCATGAGGACATAGGAGTCCTGTCCTGTGCGACTCTGGTCCCATGAGGCTGGAGGAAGAAGTAATACTAATGAAGGTCTTCGAGCGGTAAGCGGCCGAGACAAAGGGAAGCAAGGGAAACTGAACCTCAGCTGCTTCCTTGATTCAATTAAACGACCAAACAACACAAAAGCATTATCTACTTAACCTCAAGGGAACCAAATACCTATGCACTCGAAACTCTAATTCTATAGATAAACCACTGAACACCCGTGGTTTGCAATTGGGATGCCTTGGGCTGAGATCTGCTCCCGTCGGGGAGAGAAGCCGTTTCCTACCAGAAAAGAAGAGAAGTTCAAGGGGCAGTGTCGGTATTAGAGGAGAGAGGCTCAGCCCGTACAATTTTGAAGACTTTAGTCCATCACACCATCACAGATATTTTCCTAAGCTACTCATGAGCTCAGCTGTTGGGGTGAGGAGGAGAACAGCAACTCAGGAGAGAGAGACAATGAGCACATGTGTGCCTTTCTCACAAAATCAGTGTTTCCTATTCAGGATTTCTACTCTCCTACCTGCACAAGACATCGTAAATGGTAGGTTCTCAATACATAGTTGATGGACAAATGAAGTTTATTAGGACTTTCTTTACATTTGCACTTTAAACCCATGATTATGGACAGACATATGTAATGTTTCCTGGGTTTTGTGTTACAGACAAAAGGGTAAAGAAGTGACAAGGGGGTGGAACAGGGAGAGGATGTCAAGAGAAAGAATGAAAGAAAGTGACAAAAAGAAAAATGACAGAGAAGGAAAAGAGAGGGAGAAGGAAATCATCAAACATAGGTCTTAGGAAGGACAAGAACATAATAGCAATCCCTTTCAATTACAAGAGGCTATTAAATTTCAAAGTGTCTGTGTAAACACCAACACATTCTTCTCACAATGTCAGGGCATTTCTCTCAAAAAGAGTTTGTTTTAGTACCCCACTTGTGCCCAAACCTGTGCTTTTTTTTTTTTTTAAAGATTTTATTTATTTATTCATGAGAGACAGAGAGAGAGAGAGAGGCAGAGGGAGAAGCAGGCTCCCAAGGAGCAGGGAGCCCGATGCGGGGCTCGATCCCAGGACCCTGGGATCATGACCTGAGCTGAAGGCAGACGCTTAACCATCTGAGCCACCCAGGCGCCCCAAAACCTGTACTTTCTTGCAGGGCAACGAAAGACCTTCAAATTCCATTTGGTTCTCATCTCTTGAACCTATATTAATAGGAGCACCACATTCTTTTATGCTTTGGGACAACCCGATTCTGAATCCATCTTATCATTGAGTCATCAGCTCTTCTGACCAGAAGGGTCAGTGCATGGAGGCCCTGACCATTCCTGAGAGCTAGGTGCTTCCAGAAGTGAAATGGGAAGTAAAAAGTGGTCGTGGTCAGGGTAGAACTAAAGAACCATAATATCCCTTTGAAATAGAATGGGCTCTAGTATCATTTCCATTCTACAGCTAATGGAATTCAAGTCCAGAGATGCAAAGAGGCCTGCCCATTGGCACCCAGGAAGTGACTACCAAACTCTAGGCATGGCCCCTGATCTTTCTCCCAATAATTGCCACTAGCTCCTATTGCATCCAATTTGACCTTAGCCAAAATTTATCTGGCACCTTTCTCCACCAGGCCTATTCTCCAGTCTGTTGTGTTGTCAAAAACATGCCTTTTCAGTTTACCCTGACTTCTGGAAGATCTTTTAGTTTTGCCATTAGTTTTGTCTCTCGACTCCAGCAAGGAACGCCCAGCTCTCAGGATGCTCCTGACTGGCCAGGACTTCGATGGACTGACACTTCTGGTCAAAAAAGCCGATGACCCGATCACAAGAAAGATTCTAAATCAGGTTATCCCAAAGGGTAAAGAAGGTGAAGCTCCATGATATTAAATAGGTTCAAGAGATCAAAGGCAAAGGGAATTTGAAAATCTTTTGCTGCCCTATAAAACAATTAATGTTGGGCACATTGGAGTGCCTGCTCTATTTAAAATGGTAAGTGAGGGGCGCCTGGGTGGCTGTCAGTTAAGTGTCTGCCTTCGGCTCAGGTCACGATCCCAGAGTCCTGGGATAAAGTCCTGTGTTGGGCTCCCTGCTCAGCAGGGAGTCTGCTTCTCCCTCTCCACCCACTCCCCCCACCCCTGCTCGTGCTCTCTCTCACTATCTCTGTCTCTCTTTCTCTCTCAAATAAATAGAAACTTTTTTTGAAGTAAAAAAATAAAGAATAAAATGGTAAGTAACCACCACTATCCCAACCTCAATGAGAATTTTGCTTTCTTTGCTTTAATTTTTTCCATTGTGCTTATTCTGTCATAAGCAGTCAGTTGTCAGTCTCCTCCATTAGACTGTGAGCTACACACAGGCTTGCTCTTTTCTGGATTCCCAGTTCCTATGATAGTGCCTGGCTCATAGCAGGTACTCAATAAATCTGTTGTAACATCTCACCAGACAGCATGAGAATGAAATGAAACAAGTGGAATAACTTTCTGTATCCGTGATGACGTCCTTTGGGTGGAAGGAGAACAGATAATTATTCTGCTAGAGGTAAGTAGGGAAAGGGAAACTTGTCCTAAATTTTTGCCTGCCCCAAATAAAGAAAAACATAGCATAACTACAATGAAAGGCTTCTCTCTGGCTTTTGTGCAACTGATACTGGTGATCACAGAGAGAGGGCCCTGATTAGGAAGGCCATTTCCTCGGCCAGCATTGGTCCCTGAGAATAATCTTGCATAAGAGCATGGCAAAAAGAAGAACGAAAAATCTCTACATCATAATACAAAGGCTTGCCTCGCTTTAAGTTGGGTGAAGACTTGTGAATGATGGCTCCTTTAGGCAACCTTTAGGAAAATGGTTCCCTACCTTATTATTACTTTAGAATTGTTGTTTGTTCTTATGAGACGTGTGTGTGTGTGCATGCGCGCACATGCACGTGCACACCCAGGAGCCTGCAGCAAGTGTACGTGATAATGAGATACTGTAGCATAGCAATCTTCAAGGGTACTGGGCTTGGCGTGCAAAGCCCACATTGAATCTGCAGCCAGGTCTCTCAGTAGGGTTACCCTTGATAGAAAATTCAGGCTTTGGGAAACATGTTACCATAGACGGTTGTATCCCATGAACTGTGCTGGGAAAGGGGTCCTCGGACTAGAAGAATCTTGTGGGAAAGAGGTGGGGTTTTCTCAGAGATGAGAGACTAAAAAATAAACTCTTCCTTTGAGGAGGAAGAGAGTTGGACAGAACTCAGATAAAAGAGCAAAGGAGTGCCCACTGGGAAGGAGGCCGCCCGGAGGAGCTGAACTTTAAAAACGGTCTTTCTTTGTTTTCTATAGCAGTAGCCAGTTTTAGGATTGATTTCTACATTGTAATTTCCTCCAGTTATCCCCAAAGATCAAACATCTACATGACACTGACTATATATCAGTCACTAGACCAAATGTGCCAAGTCGATTCCTTTCTATCATCCTCACTATCCTCATCATTGTCTGCATTTCACAGATAAAGAAACAGGCAGGAAGAAATGAAATAACCTGATCACAGTTACACGAATAGAAAGCGGCAGGGCCAGGATTCGGAGGAGGGCAGGCCAGCTCCAGACCAGGCACTCTAACCTCACGGCTACGTTGCCTTCTTCATCATGTCTTATGCGCACACTGCCTTGAGCGAGTGGTAAGGAGGGGGTTAAGGGAAGGGGCGCTCGCTCAGGGGACTGGCGGCCTCCCCTGCTATGTCACCCCCTGACCAGTAGGTCTGGAGTTCCTGGCGGGGCTGGGGCTGGCAAAGGAGCACGAGATAGGGAGAAGCAGCCTCAGTGTGCTAGGCTCACACAAACCCGAATTCCCCTTGAGACGGAGTAAGATCAACTCCTCCTGCCCCACATGCACTTGAGGAAGGGAACTCTTGCCTGGGCAGAAGCACCCTCCAGCGTGCTGCTAACATGTGCAGTAGAGGACCTTCAGTACCCGACATGTGCTAAGTGCTCAGTAATTTGCGGCTGTCATTTCTTATTATGTCGTGTTGAACCATATGAGACTATTGACTGTGGACCATTTTTGACCTACCAAAATGGCAATTTCACATTGCCCAGTTTACACTGTAACTGTTCATTTTAATATCTCACTCAACTTGGAAACCGAGCTCCTTTTAGTGAGCAGGGATGATGTACTTTTCAGAGCAGTGTGTCAGCGCCTGGTGGAATACGTGTCTCCAAGCACACACTCACGAGATGCTTACGGGGTTGAACCACACACGCACCCGCTTAGTTGGCCTGCCAGCTAACGAACTAGTATAAGTTCGTTAACTACATACAGAACTACAGTGCATTTTTACTCGGTTGGTTGGTTAGCTGGCTGACAGACTCAGCCTTGACTTCTAGGATCCTGAAGTAAGACGGGAATATAATGTACCTCTGTCCCCACTTCTGTTGCCTACCTGGAATGACTTCAAAGACAAACTTCCCCGCCTCTTCTGGGTTCATGGAGATCTCCTTGATCGTACTTCCTGGTAGATACATGCAACCCTGAAAGATCAAAAGTTGGCCCTTTAAGATAAGCAGCAATTTGGTCCCCTAAAATTAAGTTGAAGGACAGACAGGATAACGATGGGATCAGAGAAGATAATAGATAGGTGGAGAGGAAAATGGAAAGCTAGCACCCCAGTTTTGAATGGGGCACTTCTGCTATTCAAGCCTCTGACAAATTGACAGCTATCTGAGAGCAAGCTAGGTGCCTAGAGAGAAAAGAACAAGGTCCTGACAGAAGAGTGAGGGGAGGGGATGCCATCAGCAACACTTGCCTCTTCCCACTTTTCCAAGGACCTGACTTCCTGGCCAAACCAGACATCGGACCTTTGTAAGCAGGGCAGAGACTGGTATGCCTTGCAGAGATAGTATGGTGGGCATTCTACCTGCCCGGCTGCCGGAGATGGCACAGGGGACGGAACCACAGGTAGCCAGTCAAGAAGATAGAGTACTTAGGAGCAGCAAGAGCTGCTGAGCAGCACATTCCAAGCATCTGCCCCTTTGCTAAGCACCTTGACTATGTTACCCAATTAGTCCTTCCGGCAACCCTCCCAGCCAGGTGTCATTATGCACATTTACAAGTGAAGAACCAGAAAGGTTCTATAATCTGCCCAGTGTCACAGAGCTAGTAAGGGACAGAATGGTAATTCATCTCAGTAGCGAGTTCAAGCTGAGGTGGTGGGGACCCACCAGCTTCATGTCCCCCCGAAGTGGGGAGGAGGATCCTGGATCCATGGCAGGAAGTGAGGTTGCAGAAGGATAGGTGACCTCTTATATGTGAATATGTTATCAGAAGAACAAGTCACTTCCGCTATGTGTGTGCTCAGTGCTTTAGCACTTACATGCACCATCACATGCAATATCCCATTGGATCCCCACAACAGCTCTGTACCATAAGCCTGGCGACATGTGCCTCTTCTCCTTTGCAGACGAGGTAATCAATACTGTGGAAATCTAAGCGACTGCACCAAGGGACACAGCTTATTTGTCCTAGAGTTGGCTTGTCAGAATTTATATCTCACTGGCCGTGACAGGCAGCATGTCTGATTCTAGCTGAGCAAATATATGTGTCTTTAGAACAGAGTGTCAATGAAGAGGATCGGCATCAGAAAATCCATTAACATCAAAAACAGAGAGGCAGCCTTGAAAAGTCCCTGAACAAACAAAACCAGTTTAGTCATACAAAGCTCAATTTCGCTTACTTTGCAAGACAAACTTGACCTGGATCATTTCTTGCTCATGCCTCTGGAAATCATAAGCAAAACTTGAACTGTAATCACTGACCAGTTTCCTATCGTTTAAGGAAACGCGCGCAAGGGGCGGGGAGAGGCAGAGGGAGAAGGAGAGAGAGAATCTCAAGCAGCTCTGCACTAAGTGAGGCTCGATCTCACGACCCTGAGATCATGACCTGAACTGAAATCAAGAGTTGGACACTTAACTGACTGAGCCACCCAGGCACCCCTAAGGAAATTCTCATATTATAACCAATCACTATAAAGAATAAACAGTCACTGCTTTCTCAACTTAAAATGCTGCTTTATAACAATATATCCGTGAGCCTCATTCCACATTTTTGGTTTAAGTGCTTCCAGTCTGCAAACTTTTTGGTGTACACAAAATAAATTTTTACTTATTATTACTTCGGTGATTCATTGGTTTTACTTCTGTTATTTCTGAACTTTTGAGAGTATAGGACAAGAGTCTTAATGAACTCTCAGATCAGCTGAGGAGCCTCAAACAATAAATGTTTCTTGAGAGTCTAGAAATAAAAATGTCTAAGACTGAATGAGAAAAAGAGTAGAAGAAAAAGAAGAAAAGGAGGAGGAAAAGAGGAAGAGGGGAGAGACAGCGAGGGGGAAGAGGAAAAAGGAAAAAGTATCTGTCTATAAAAGGGAATTCTGCATCTTTCTACATTTCTCTAATTTTATTACTTGAAAATAACCTCAAACCTACAAGGTCCTCATCATCTTTAAATAATATCAATGGCCTCGGGAAAAAAAATGACCCTGAGATTGTGCAGCTGGGCTTCTTTGCATGAGTTATGGCACTAGAATAAAAAGCCACATTATTTTTAGACAAGAAGGAGCACTGCCTGGCAGAAGAAAAGGAAAGTATAATTTCAGAAGTATCTGCCTCTCCTAAATACCTCTATTATTTGATACGTCCAAATTACTTTCATCCAAAAATAGTAAAAATAAAGTACAAAATATGTAAGTACTATTTATCGAGCAGTAACTAGGTGCCAGGCTCTGTGCTAAATGCCCTGAATATATTATCATATTAAATCTTCATAAGAACTCTCTGAAGGGGGCGCCTAGGTGGCTCAGTTGTTAAGCGTCTGCCTTCGGCTCAGGTCATGGTCCCAAGGTCCTGGGATCGAGCCCCGCACTGGGCTCCCTGCTCCGCGGGAAGCCTGCTTCTCCCTCTCCCACTCACCCTGCGTGTGTTCCCTCTCTCGCTGTCTCTCTCTCTCTGTCAAATAAATAAATAAATAAAAAGAACTCTCTGAAGGACAGACTGTTATTTTCCCCACTGGAGACACGAGGAAGTAAGGGTCAGAGAGGTTAATTAGATGATCCAAGATCACAGCGCTAGTTAATAGGAGTGCTGTGATTCAAACTCCAGTCAGTGGGATTTCAGAATGACAAGTAAGACTTTACTTACAAGTCCCACTTACTCTGGGGGAAGAAGTAACCATCAGAGTTAAACTTATTCACACCAAGACATAAATGACAAACTGCAAGCCCTTCCTCATCTTGAGCACAAGAACCCTGGACATCATAAATGAAGAGAGGAGAGTGGGAAGCCATCAGAGAGACAGTAGTGGGGGTGGGGACACTGATGGAGGGGGAGGAATGGCCCCGGACAGGGAAGGGCTCAAGTGGCCACTTTCCCCCACATTGCAAGTCGACTGGAGTGGACGCTGTACAAAGATGGAAGGAGGAGGCCACACGTCCTACAGCAATGAAGCAGGCCAGATAGCCGGGGCAGTGGGGTGCTGGAGCCCACGTACAGCGGCTGGCAAGAATGCACTGCCACAGCTTCAGGAACAATGTGAGCAGTTGTTAAACACAGCCGTTATCGATAGTTAAATTATATAAGCTTATAATGAAATATTTTATATTAAAAATAACGGTAATAATACTCAGAGTTCAGCGATTCCTAGTTATTTACTCTATTTTACTATGATTTCTGTTCATGTGGTTATTTACATCTGTTCTATCTGTGTGGTTAAAATACTATAAAACACTGTGCTTTACACATCTCTTCTCAACTCTGTGTTCAGTGATGTCATGTTAGCAGCCTGAATCAGCCAGGCTGGTGGGGTATTTACACCATGGAAATTGGCTAATACTGCATCACGATCAGCTCGGCCACCAGACAGCCATTTGTGAAACACTTCCCAGCCACCTGCGGTAACATCCCTGAAAAGGAGAAGAGACAAGGGAACAAAGAAGCTAGGACTGTCCAGAACCATCACTGAAGCAGGGACTTGAGGGCAGTTTGCTGAGGTTCCGGTTTAAACAATTTCCCTGACAAAGAACCTTTTGGAATGAGTTCTGTCGAGCTAAGTCAAAGATTTACAGAGCATTATGCTATTAAAGCTGGACAGACCATGCTGAGACCTCAGGGGAAAAAATGCACAGACTGCCTTCTGTCGAGCCCCGAGCTTCCTGGGAAGCAGGCACAGGAGGTCCATCAGAGAGGGGCCGATCATTTATTTAATCATTCTCCTTTGTCGGACATCAAGTTCAAAGTTTCTCATTATGAACAGCACTGCACGTATCTTATTTCTCTTGGATCACTTCCTAAAACTAAAATGACTCGCTGTAAGCCTATGATATTTTTTTGGCTCTTAGAAATTCGGCCAAATGGCTTTCTAGAAAGTTTGCACCAGTTCATATGCATATCATCAGTGTACATGAGGGCCTTTTTCACCCGATTGCTCCAAGATTACTGGGGTTTCTGTCTGAGATTTTTTTTAAGGGATAGAATTGTGCATGTTCTTTTTAAATTTGTAACTAATTTATGTCTTACAGAAAAATTAGAAAATGAACAAAAAAGGAAAATCAAAAATTGTCTGCAACTCCAGTGCTCAGAAGAGATAACCACTATTAACAGGTCTGAGTATTTCTCTCCCAGCCGTTTTCCCATAAATTCACATTCATTATTTTTTCCCTCAACAATGGGATTAGTTAGACACATCATCCTCTGTTGTGAATTGGCCTTTTGCTTTTGTTTTCAAAGCCATATTACGGGTATCTTTCTATTTCAAAAAGTATTAATTTAGGGCATAACAACAGACTTATATTCTATTGTATAAATATACAAAATTTCCTTGGTATAACTTAGCCCTTACCACTGGGCATTGTTTTTAACATCACTATTATAAACAATACTGTAGTGAAAACATGTACAGGTAAATTTAATTATCTACATCACTCTTGGGGCACCTGGGTGGCTCATTCAGTTAAGCAGCTGTCTTTGGC